TCTTCCTAGGCGTGGGACTGTTTAAGTCCCCAATTACGCCAGCTCACCTCGGCCACGGAAACTTATTCTTTGCAGATTTCAAACGTATCTCCTTCCCTCCTCCCTCCCGCTTGGCCTTCACACTCTTAATAAAACATTAAAAAGCCACTCCCCACCATGTGGCCCGAGCGGGTTCCGTGTGCTTCCCTGAAGTCTGGCCGCGCCCCTCCGTCACGCGTCCCCGTTCCGAACCGCGGTGGCGGCGCGGGGCCTCATTTCCTGGGAAGTGGGTTATGATGTGCTCGTGTTCAAAGGAAAGACGGAGGATGCTTTCTGCCGCTGCACCGGCGCCGCGCCTGCCTTCCGGGCTTGAAAGGCCAGCGGGTGTTCTGAGCAACCTGAACACGGTATTGGAGAAAGTGTTTCTCTGAGAAGAAGAAACACGCGTTCTCTTTAGAGATCGCTGCTCATTAGCGCACGGCTTTGACTCCCCGGGGGAGGGGCACAACACGGAGTAAGAGCCGGTGTTTATTCGCCCTTTGCTCTCTGCCAGGCGGCCCTCGAAGAGTTTGGCACCTACAGTTTTATTTAATGTCCCGTCTCCTGGGTGGTTGTGGGGAATTAGATTAAGAAAGACCGAGCACCTGGCGAAGGAGGTAACATGGCTCCCCTATTTTATAGAGGGGGAAACTGAGGCAGGGAGGCCCCAGCCGCTTGCCCGAGGTGAAGCCCGCGGGGCGTTGAGTCAGCCCGGACACCGGACGGTGGCCCCGGCTGGGAAGACACCGCAGCCTCCGAGCACACGGTCCCCGCGCCGGGCCGGCCCGCGGCTCCTGCCTGCACCGCCCCCGCTTCCTTCTAGGAGGGGCACGTGGAAGGAAGGGGCCCCATCGATGGCCCCGAGAATGCCTGCTCTCCCTTCTCTGATTTTTGGTCTTGAAGTGGCATCTCCAGAGAAACCAGAAGACCGGAGCCCATCAACCCTGGCGGTAGTTTCAATTTGCTAAGGTGGCCCGAGGGTGAATTAAAGAGACAGCGTCACCCTGGGTGAAGGGGCGGGGCGCTGGGTGGTCGCCGTCCTGACCCCTGCTGTCTCTGCCCGGGGCACGTGTTCTGACTGTGGGTGAGCCCACGTAGGTGACATGTAGGTGGCATCCAGAGCCTGGAGGTGGGGTGAACGCCCTCAGAGGAGGCTCCTTCCCCCTTGGTCCCTGGAGGCGGCCACCCACACACCCGGGAAGCTCTCCTCCGCGCTGACCACTCCGGGCGCCCCCCCGTGCCCCCGGCCTCGCGCCCGTGCCCGAGCGCAGCCCCGGCTGACCGTCCCCACCTGGATACTCCGGAGCACAGGCGGCCCAGGCTGCTGGTCTGTCCGGCTCCACCAACACGCTGGGCTGGGCGCGCCTGCCTCCCCGGTCAGGCTGTGGCCGTCCCCGCCCGCTCGCCACATTTCGCTCTCCCTCCGTGACATCCCGGCGCTGCCTGTGCGGCTCAGTGCGTCCTGCTCGACGGGCTCCCTTCTCTCACCCACGGCCCCGCCCACAGGGCTCTGAGGACGCCGGAGGCGGCTGTCACTCCTCTCCTCTCCTGACTTCCCGGCTCTGCCCAAGTGACCGGCGCCCCCCTGCCTGGGGCACAGCCACGTGGTGTGCTGTGAAGACAAAGTGGTTTAATCCACTTTGTGAAGTTCAGAACCACCGGCAGATGGGATGGCCCAATGGTCACAAGTGCAGGTTTGGGGTCACTGGGCCGGAGGGGGGGGCCCTCCGAGCTCCCTGCCAGCTTCCTGTGTGACCCTGGGCCTCTGACAAGCCTTCTGGGCTCAGGTCTCCTCACCCACAAAGCAGGGACGGGAGCGGCAGCACCGGAGGCGGTTGGCGGGCAGGCTGGCTGCGTGAGAGCGCGGCCGCGGCCGCGGGCAGCTGGCAGGAAGGGCCCGCCTGCCGTCCGTGCGCTCGCTCGGCAAGGACATGTGGGGCTGGCGCCTGGGTCCAGCATCAGACTGCCCCGCCCCTACCCTGACCGCCACTCGGACCGGCCGTGTGACCATGGGAACTAGCGCCGCGTCTCGGGCCCCTCCTGCCCACAGCGGGCTGACGGGGGGCTTGCCGGAGCTGGTCTCTGTAAGGCGCTCGGCCGCTGCTGTCCTCGTCCTAGGGACCCGCACCTCTGCGAGGCCTGGCGCGGGGCCCCCGCGGAGCTCCCCCAGGACCTGCGCAGCTGCGGCCCGTGCTCCCGGCGGGCAGAGCGGAGCTCGTCGGACAGTCCCCGTGCCCTGAGGTCACGCGGGTTGAGTTTCCTGCCCTCTCTGCCCTTGGAGGCACGGCTGGGGCTGCCCCCCCACGGCAGAAGCCCACCCAGCTCCGCCGTGTGCAGACCCCCGGAGCCGGGCGGGCCTCCTTGGCCGCGCCGCCGCCCTCCCCCCGCCCGGGGCCCTGTCCGCTTCCGGAGCCCCGGCTCGCAGCTGGGAGTGGGCGTGCGGGCGCCCTTGCACGCCCCCTCTGTGCGCCTCTGTGACCTGGCACCCCCAACAGGACCCATGTTCCTGGAGCGAAGGCCATGAAGCTGAGCCGCCGACCTCCAAGTCAGGACGACTGATGATCCTTTTCGAAACTCTGCCGCCCGCTAAGGGCGCAGGTGCCTTTCCAGCATCTAACGTGCGAGTTTTGACGCTGCTCCTGGGTCCACCACCCTCCACCTACGAGCGGCCGGTACTCGCCCGGCAGCCAAGGGCCTGGTCCAGGAGCCCCCGACACGTGGGGCAGATCGCTGGCTCCCGGGACGGAGCCACCCCGAAACATGTTCCAGGCGTGGCAGCAGCTCTCGTGTTTGCCGCACACGTGTTTCCGTGGGGCCGGCATCAGCAGCCCGCACTCCTGACCCGGCAGAGCCGACGCGGCCGACCCCAGAGCCGCGTGTGTGGGGTCGCACCCAGCGCGGAGGCTCACGGCTGCGCTCTGGCTTTTTTCTAGAACTTTCGAAGTTCTCTTCCAAACACGCCATTTCTTATCTCTCCTAAGAGTGTGACAAGGGAAGCGTTATATATATCCATTCATACATGACACACATAAATATCTCCGGGTAGTCTTTTCAAGTGGGAATAATCAAGAAAAAGGTTTTGCTTGTGGGCAGTTTTAAAACCTTTTCCCTCTTGTTTTCAGTGCACAAAGGCCGGCCTGGGCTTTACCGTAAATTGCTCTGCCCGCCTCGTTGGTGCCCCTTGAACTTGGGGCCCAAGCAGCCAGCCCCCGCCCCGAGCCCCCCCCCACCCCCCCCACCCCCCACCCCCCGTCCAGCCCTGGGTGGTTGCCGAGGGTGGTCCCAGTCACCGGGGCCCATTCCCGAACACCTGTTAGGTCCCGCCCTGACCTTGGGTCACTGCCCCGCTCAGGAAGCGCTTAATAAAACCGCTCAGGGGTCCTCGTCCCACCCAGAGCCTGCAACCCCCGGGAGCCTGGTCGGTTCGATGGGCTTCCCGGGCGTGGGGCTGGCCCGCGCCCTTGGCCCTCGGTTAGAGCCTGAGTTTAGCTGGGCCTCGGGCCACCAGAACCTGGGCCACTTCTGGCTGCCTGGCTCACAACCCTGAGGGCAGGCACAGGAGGGCGTGGAGCCGGGACGCCCCGAGCTGGTCGGCTGCGCCTCGGGACCACGGGCACTCGGCTCTGTCCAGACGTGTAGCCTGTTCTGCCCACGCGCCCCTGCCCCGCCAGCGTGCCCTGCCTGGCGCTCTGCCCGGCGCGCTGCAACCCCAGCGGGCCAGCTGAACGGGCCCGCTGGCCTCCCTGCGCGGCCGGCTCGCTCTCCGGGGGCAGGGCCTGGGCCGGGCCAGGGCGTGGCGTGTCCTGGCTCCCTCCCAGCCAGGCCCGGGCTCCCCGTGGCCAGGAGCCGCCGCGCAGCCCCACGCACGTCCCGCCCGTCCCGCCGGGACGCCTCTGGAGCGGGGATTAAGCGGCCGGCCCCCGGCCTCGGCGGCGCCGGGTCAGGTGGGCTGCAGCCGCCGGGCGGGCCGAGCTCGGCTTTGCTGGGGGGGCGGGCGGAGGGGGCGTTCTCTCCTGCCCTCTCAGCGCGTGAGGGACCAGCACCAAACCAAAGACTGAGTTTATTTTTAATAAAATAGTGGAGCGTGAAAATCTCCTCTAGACCCTGCCTCACACGCAGGCCCTCACCCGGCGGCGTGGGGGAGGGGCGACCAGCCCTTTGGCCGGGGCTCCGGCATCTATTCTGGAAGCCATTTGCTTAACAATAGAAAGAGTCAATAAGCCCTTTGGGTGCTTTTGAATACGGTCCCTCTCCTCTCCCCTCCCTTCCGCAAAGCAGGGCAAACCCTCCAACACCGGCTCGGTTCCCATTAAAAAGCCACAAAATGTAACGCTGAGGGGTTTCTGAGGGCTGGGCCCCTCGTCCTTTTGTGAGGAGGTTTCTTTTGTTGTCTTTACACGCAGCAAACTACTTGTTTCTCTTTTTATTTTCACGGGGAGAGAAAAACGTATTGCACGTCGCTGGCCTTTACACACGTGAGGTTCGGGGGACGCCTCTGTCCCCGAGAAGGCCCGTTGGCGGAGGCCGGAGGCCGGCGCCTGTTTTGAGGGGCTGCCAGGCCTCCCCCTTTCCTGTTCGCACAGAAGTTCGGTCCCGGGGCGGCCTCCCTGAGGGTGGGCCCCCGGGCGGCTCGCCCGCGGCGACCGTCCCTGCCCCCCGCCCCGCCCGCCCCTCCCCCCAGCAGCCCAGCAGAGGTCCTTTAATTTGCAGACAAGTTCCCTCTCCTCTGACTTGTAAATGGAGAGCTGAGCCGACCCAAACACACACAGATGCATGTATATTTACCAAAGCTTCTAAACAAAAGTTTTCTTTAGGGGGCTGAATCAACTCCTTCACCACAAATTAGTTACACAAGAGGCTGCTCAGCGGGGAGCTCTCCTCCCCGAAAACCGAAGCCGCCGGACCCAGCCCTCGCTGTCCAGGCTCTCCCGGTGCGTCGCCGCGGCCTGAATTTCAGGGCACAAGCTTTTTTTTTTGTTTGTTTTTCCTTTTCCTTTTATTTTAAAAAACCAACCAACCAGCCCACCGACCCAGAGACGCGCAGAGAGCGCGCGGCAAAGTGTTCCGCTCCACCCCCGCCGCCCGCGCCTCACACGCAGGTGGGCGGCCGGGCGGGGGCCTCGTACTTCCCCAGGTGCGCCTTGGGCGGGTGCTGGGCTTTTTTGTAAATCCCGCCGTGGGCGACGACGCTGGCCGGCTTCCTCCGGCTCTTCCGCTGGAAGCGGCGGCCGCACACGCTGCGCCAGGACTGCAGCGTCTTGGCGGTCCAGATCCAGACCCCGCTGGTGATGCCCACCACCAGCAGCATGAAGATCTTCACCAGGAAGATCTCCACGGCCGGGATGGAGGCGGCCAGCAGGCAGTCCAGGCTCTTGGTCTGGTTGTTCACCCTGCACTTGCGCTGCGCGGCCAGCGCCTTCCAGTACTCCATGTTGAGGCGCTCGTAGAAGTAGCAGGCGATGACACAGGTGGCCGGCACGGTGTACAGCACCGAGAAGACCCCGATCCGCACCATGAGCTTCTCCAGCTTGTCCGTGTTCTCCCCGCCCGTCTTCATCACCCTGCGGATGTGGAACAGGGCCACGAAGCCCGAGAGCAGGAAGGACGTGCCCAGGACGAGGTAGCAGGCCAGGGGCGCCAGCACGAAGCCCGTGAGCGCGCCCACGTCCATGCTGCTCACGTAGCAGACGCCGGTGAGCTCGTCCCCCGCCACCCGGCGCAGCACCAGGATCAGCACGGTCTTCACGGCCGGGATGGCCCAGGCTGCCAGGTGGAAGTAGCTGCTGTTGGCCTCGATGGCCTCATGGCCCCACTTCTTGCCAGCAGCCAGGAACCAGGTGAGCGTGAGGATCACCCACCAGAGCGAGCTGGCCATGCCGAAGTAGTAGAGGACCAGGAAGACGAGGGTGCAGCCCGTGCTCTCTAGCCCCTCCTGGATGACGTAGAGCTGCCCGCTGTCGCGGTCGCAGGCGATGCTCTCGGCGCCGGCGAAGAGGCGGATGATGTAGCCCAGCGAGGACACGCAGTAGCACATGGAGAGGAAGATGATGGGGCGCTCCGGGTAGCGGAAGCGGCCGGGGTCGATGAGGAAGGTGAGCACGGTGAAGGCGCTGGAGCAGAAGCAGAGGACGGACCACACGGCCAGCCAGACCACGGCGAAGCGCTTGTCGTCGCGGCTCCAGTACACGTCCACACCCGGCGTGCAGAGCGGCGCGCACGACGCGCTCTTCTCCACGTGGTGGAACTTGCCGGGGTTGGCGCAGCCGGCGCGGCCCGGACCCCCGTCCTTCAGCGGGTGCTCCTGCGCGCCTGCGGGCCGCTGCGGCCGGAAGAGCGGCGGGAACATGCCCGAGCCGCGGGCCGGCTCGTCCGAGCCGTTGTTGGGCGCCTCCATGCAGAGGTAGTTGGGGTCGTTCTTGTTGGGGAGCTTGCTGCAGTCCAGCGAGTCGGGCCACTTGAAGTTGAACTGCTCCATGATCGGGGAGCACTTCAGCCGGGCCTGCTCGCACATGACGCGGCAGGCGGGGATGGGGGTGGAGACCTGCTCGGTGCACATGGGCGCGTACAGCGAGCACAGGAAGAAGCGGAGGTGGCCGTGGCAGCCGTACTCCACCAGCGGCGCGAACTCGTGCAGCTGGATGGCGGCCTCGCGCTGGTTCTCGTGGCCCATCAGGTTGGGCATGCGGGTCATGTTGTAGCCAATGTCCTTGCACATCGGGATCTCGATGGGCTGGCACTTGCCGTCGCCCGGACGCTCCATGTCCATGGAGCTGATGGCGGCGCACGACCCCATCACCTGCAGGACCAGCCACAGGCGGGGACCCGGGCGCTGCATGGTGCCGTCGGAAGCGCCCCCGCGGGGAGGTCCGCTGCCCTCAGAGCCGCTGCTCCCGGGCTCGGGCTCGGGCGGCCGGCCCCGGCTCCGCGCCCTGCCCCGGGCCCCCGCCCATGCCCGCCCAGCCTGGCCCCGCTCCCCGCGCCCGGCCTCCGCCGAGGTGGGGCCGCGGAGCAGAGAAGCGAAGTTGGCGAACAATACCGGGAAGCGAGGGCAGCCCCGGAGCCCTCCGCGCAGCGGCCGGCGCGGGCTGCGCGTCTCCGCCGGCAAACTTTGGCCTCTTCTGGGGGCGCCCGGGCGACGCGTCCGGAGCGGGCGGGCGGGCGGCGCGGGCGCACGGTGGCCGGGCCAGCGCGCCGCGGCTCCTCCCCACCCCCGCCGGCCTCGGCCCGGCCCAGCCCGCAGCTGTTCCGAGGTTTGCGTCCCGGGGTGAGAAGACTCGCGAAGAGGCAAAGGGGGAAAAGCCGAGCGGTGACAGGCCCCGCCCCCGGGCGCGCGCCCCGCCTCCGCCGCTGCTTTGCATGAGAAAGCGGGGCCGCCCGGCCGCCGGCTCCCGCGCCCCGCCGCCGGCTCCGGGCCCCGCGGGGCGCAGCGGCGACCCGCCCGCGTCGCCGACCGGCCGGGGCGCCCCGCCTGGCGTCTCCGTCCGTCCTGCCCGCCGCTCCTTCGCCCTCCCTCCGCCGGCCTCCAACTTTGCTCTCGCCGCCTCCCGCCTGCGCCCCGGGGCTGGGGGACCCCTCGGGACCGTCCCCGGCGCCCCGTGCCTCTCGCCGGCTCCCGCCGCCTCCCGCCAGCGCCCCCTTTCCCGGCGAACCCCAAGGGCACCGAGGTTACTGGAAGTTCGGAGACCGGCCGGAGAGGGGGTGGGGTGCCCGCGGCAGGGGGCGGGGGGCGCATCTTCCCCGGTTTTTATGGTGGGTCCCGGGCAGAGGGCGCTTTCAAAGCGAGGTGGGATTTGCGTTTTATAGCCTTGGCCATAAAGCGGCCCTTTGGCTTGTAAACCTGCCCGCGTCGTCCCGGGCTGGGCGTCGCCAGGCCTGCGCTCGCCTCGGCTCGGCTCCGGCTCCGGGGAGGGCCTCCCTTTGAAATTTCAAAGCGCGGAGCGGAGAGCCGGGGGGAGGGGCTCCGGGATCCAGATTTTAGGGCCGCTCGAGCGCGGTCTCCGCAGGGAAGGCGGGGAGGGGGAGGGGACAGAGTGGGGGAGGGGCTCCGCGCTTCCCGGGGCTCCCACGGCCCCGGGAAGTGGGGGCTCGGCCCGTATAGCGGCGACCCCCGCCCCCTACAAAGCCGTGGAGCTGCCGGCCCCGCACCGGGCGGGGCTGGACAGTTCGCCGGGGAGGCTGAGCCTATTTATTAGAGGGAGTCGTCCGCTCGTCGGGCATTTGTGTTATTTGGCGAGTGGTTTGCCCGGCTGGCGCCCTCCCTGGGCACAGGCCCGCGAGGGGATGCACCCGTGGGAGTGACAGGTGGGAGGCCGCTGCCCTCGGCTGGACCCGGGGTCCCCACTCAGTTTTCAGAGACAGTGGGGCGAGCGCCCGAGACTCGGGCCGTTTGCGCGCCCGCTCGGACGGGGCCAGGTCGTGGTGAAGACTCTCCGGCCACCGCAGCCCCAGCCGTCTGGGCCGCTCTGAGCGCCCCGCCCCGCCGCGCCCGGTAACCCTTAAACAAACAGCGCCCCCGGGAGGTGGCCGCGCCTCTCTGCGCCTAGACACCCTGGACGGCAGGATCTTTTCCAGTTTTCCTGAAACTCCCAGGGTCTCGCCTGTAGGGGGCAGCACGGGGGCCCCTCCCGGGGCGGAAGGCCCGGGGAGCCGGCCCTGTCCTCATGGCCTTCCCCTCCCCGTCCCATCCTCGGGGACGCTGGAGAGGCCAGCGCGGTGCATGGCGACCCCAGGAGCCGTGCAGGGCGCGGCGGGTGCTGCCAGGCGAAGCGGCCACGCCCGGGAGCAGAGGACGTCCCTGGCCGTCCTCGGAGGAGCTCTTTGTCAGCGGAGGCGGAAGGAGGCACGGCCTCTAGAGGGCCTTTTAGAACATTGGCTTTCATTTCTAACGAGTGGTGGGATTTTGCGTCTATAAGCACTTGGGAGGCCTCACATGGCCGCTCATTCTCGCATCCTTCCAATGCCTCCACCTACCCACATGCCCATCCACCCTTCCTTCCTACTCTTCCTCCCTCCCTCCTTCCCTCTCTTCCTCCCTTCTGTCTGTCCATCCGTCCAACCATCCACCCACCCACCCACCCAGCCTTCCATCCCTCATCCATCCATCCATCCATCCATCCTTCCCCCTGCCCTTCCTTTCTTCCTTCTATCCATGGTCCATCCATCTTTCCATCCATTCATCCGCCCTTCCATCCACACCTCCTTGCTGCCTTCCGTTCACCCAGCAAACGCTGAGAAGGCCGAGGCTGGGACGCGCCCAGCCTCCGAGAGCTACCCGTGGGCCCTGGGCTCTGAGTCACTGTCCCTGGGAGTCGGGTGGCGCAGGGAGGTGAGGAGGAAGTGAGCAAGACAGGCCAGCACAGTCAGCGCAACCGACCTCAACGTGCTGTTGCTGCTTCCGTGAAAAATCGCAAGCCCTCCCAAAGGCTGTCATTTTTCCTATGTTACCTGTTTTGTTTTCGTCTGGGGAGCTATTTTCAAAACCTTACGTTGAAAAAGACTCAGTGAACATCCGTTGGCCTTTCTAGAATTTTTCTTGTGGAGGTCCTTCATGGGGCTCCGTTTTTTGTTTTGTTTTGTTTTTTTCTCTCTCTTTTCCTTTTTGTTTCTATTTCTCAGAAACTATTGCGGGGGAAAATCATTGTGCAAGAGTTAGGGGGCACTGGCAGGCAGCACGAGGCGGGTGTGGGCGATTCGAGAAGTGCCTCCTAATTGATCTTTTATGTGCTATTTTAATGCAGCCATGTTCAGACCCATTATTTTAGCGATAACCACTTCAGATTGCTTTCTTCTCTCGTTTTCAGAAGAACGTCTGCGAGCGCTGCGCTCTGCCCAGCTGAGATGGGGACCAACAAACAGACATTATTATAGAAAAATGCGCGCTCTGAGGAATCAGCCAGGGCCAGATAACTCTGTGACTAATAATGAAAAGGGCCTTTTGATGGCTCCAGCTGAAAAGATATTTTATTTTATTTTATTTTCCTGTGTGTGGGATTTGAGATGTGTGATTCTAAGGCGCACGGGCCCCCTGCCGCTGGCCCGGGCTGGCAGCCGGCCCCCCTCTGGCAAATGTTATGGAGAATTGGGAGGGATTTTATGGCTGTCTTTCCCTCGGCTCTTTTTTCTTTTGTCTTCTTTGAAGAATGACTTTAGACATTTTATTTACATATTTAACCATGGATGAAAGAGGGAAGAGAAAGCATTGGGGCTGTCGTGGGAATAGTGATATGTTTAAATTAATGGAAATCTTATTAGGCCTCTAAAATTTCGAGCAAAGATTTTTAATGAAACTTTATAATTAAACATGATTTCAAATAACATGCAGGGACAAGGAATTTTTTTTAAACCCCCATCCCCTAAAAAAAAATATCTTGGAAGATTTTACTCTCAGACGTTTGCTCCCTTTGAGGTCTTGGAATGGTTCTCTCAGAAAAGCGTAAGGCTTTTCCAGGAGTCGGGCGAGAGTTAGAACGAGAACTAGGTATTTTGGGGACAGAAGAGAGTTGAGGTAGAGACACCTTTCCTTCCACCCCAGCGAAGCCAGAAGCATGAAATACGTGGACACAGACATCGCTGGCAATCAAAGCCGTGGCTCTTCCTGTGATGTTACAGTCGGGGCACCTACAAGCACCGTGCGAGGTTTTCTGAAATGAGATTAGAGAAAGCCCACGCAATCGCTCTAAGATAAAAAGGGACTGACACTTTCAGCCACAGGAAGAAATTAAAGCTTTAGACTTGGCGTGCGCCGGGCTAAACGGCAAGAGCGAGCTTGAGGAGTTCTCCGTGAGGCTGGCAAAAGACCCAGAGTAGCGCTGGTCAAGTTGGCGGTCAAAGGGGTTCGGGTTAGGAGGGTGCTTTCTTGGCTGTGCGCCCCGGGGAGGGGGCTCTTGGCCATCCAGGTTTGTGACCCAGTGATGTGGGTGCTGCGTGTCTCCCTCCCCTGCCCAGCGCCCTCCGTATTTGTATTCCACCCGGCACATCCCCACCCCCCGTCCAAGGGGGACCAAATGGGATGCGCTTGCTCGTGGGCGGAGGGGAGTCGGGCCCAGCGGGCCCTGTTTCCCTGGGCTTCTCCGCAGGTTACGCTTCTGCAGAAACTTATTATCAGGTTAAAGAGACCAAGCGTGGACAATGGTGTTCTCTAACCCGGGAGGCACGCTCTTCTCCCCGCCCCACGGTTTTCTCCAGGGAAACCCCCAGCCCCGTGACCTGATGCTCACTCAAGGAAACACGCCGCAGCCCCCCGACCCTGTGCGCGCCGCGGCCAATGCAACAGGCGCAGAAGTTTTAATTGTGCCTAAAACCACGAGTCGGAAGACGCTGGAGGGAGGGAGGGCTGAGAAACACACAGAAAAGCTCCGGCACCATAAAGAGGTGGCTGCAGGGCCCTCGTCCTCCGATACAATTTAGGCAGCTATTTTAAGGCCACTTCCCTTGAAATGGGGTTTGAAATATTACCAAAGGTTCCACGGGGTGCCTTCGTGTGAATTGCAAATCAGAGCTGGTCTCTAATCTCCCTTTCAAGGCTGGCTTCGGATCAGTGGCCTCGACGGGGCTCCCCACTGCTCCTGCCGCGGGGGGGCCATTCACGGGGCAGCCTCTGCCCTCTATTCCCACACTCCAAAACACAGCGCCGCAGACGGACGCCCTCCAACTAAATTAGATTAAACCCCTTCTCCGCAGCCTGTTAGCCTTTTCACGGCCCGGCTGCCTGGATGCGGAGCCTCCTAATTTAAAGATACAGTATTTCTTTTTCATCTCTCACCCACAACGGCAACCACAACAAACATACAAAACAAAGGCTGGGGGCCGGGGGGTTGGGGGGAGGACACAGCCGGCCTGCGACGTAAGGGC